CCCTTCCATCTATGAAGAGTATTTGATTCTACCATATCTGGGTCTTGAGAAGATTTTTGAAATTTCAGTCAATTCAACCCTTTTTGGCTCCACCCATCGGCCCCTGGGGGTCAGTCAGGGCTCATAGGTGCATACCATCAAACTGCTACCTAATACTGATAATGCTAACCCAAATTGAATTACTTCCAATGGAAATTAAAAAAAATATTAGTCCAAAATGTGACTTTGTCTCAGGTGACCTAAAAATGTTGTCATGATAAGATTAACAGGAAGAATTAGTGAAAATATGCTCAAGCATCACCAGTAAGTTTGTTTCGCCTCTAATGGTGCATGCAAGGCTTCATCAGGACAATTTGAACAACATTCCCCCACCCCCTCCCCGAAAGTGCTTTGTTCGGGGTTCAGTTTATATTGTGACGTGCTATATTATAGACTGTATGCAGTGTATGTTTGTACAGAAGACATGGGAAGATAAGCCCTTATTCATTATTATAATGTCACATAACTATTACCTATCTGTTTAATTGCTTGTGTAACACATAAAATTACTTTTATATGAGAATGAAAAATGGAAAAAAATTATTGAGTAGTTCAGTTCAAATTAAAAATAAATAAATAATAGGTGGGACATACATGTATAATATTATTACTACGTATAATTAACAACTATAAAAATAAAATTCAAAAGAAAAATTGTTCATTTGGATTTCCATACCACATATATATATACATATTTCTCTCATTTCCCTGTGTGTAAGATAGAGCTGTCCAGGGTAAGAAAGGGGTGTAGGAAATTTCTTACACCCTATTTAACGTGACATGACAATGGCACGACAATGATGTGACGTCACAAATTTGTAACTCTGCGATGCCGCAATGAAGGTGACATGATTAAATTAAAACCTTTTATGATATACGGTAATTATACATTAGAAAGATGTGATTATCTTTTCTGCGCAAACATTGTTTGCAAATATGGGATATGCTTAATTTGGCTGGCTGATTTGTTTTCATCTAAAAAGTTCAGGGAAAAAGTTGATATTTTCAAAATGTTGACCAGTCCGAACGCATTTTCATGGTTTCTGGGCTTATTCTGGTGGTTGGAATGAGAGAAAAATACTTTTTCATGCCCAAGGGTGTAGGATAGGGAAATTCCACCAGACAGGTTTTCAAATTTTAAAATCCTGAGGGTGGAATATCCCTATCCTACACCCCTGGGCATGAAAGAGTCGTGTAATATTGATGAGTTGTATAAATACAACTGTGAAATGTTTCATTAGCGAGTAGACATGAATAACAACTTTCTAGCTAGTATTCATGATTTGTTTCACAAAAATTTTGTAGATGTTGTATTCCATGACATCCCATCATCTTCACTTTTTAAGAATGGCATTGGAAATAAAAAATTCAGGTACCAATGTGGCCCAAATATTGACCTCAAGTGATTCCGTGGGGTGGTTTGAAACGTCTTTTTACCCTTCATTAACTCGTAACTGGTCTGACCAGTCAGGATAAGATTGCACTGCCAGAAAAAGAAATAACATCCCCCTCCGAACCCAACAAAGGTCAGGTATAAGAGCAGGACCAGGAGGACAGTCCCGAAGTCCTGCAGTCTCAGTAACCACAGAACCATGGTGTAAGGGATGAAGTACTTATAGAACTCGACACTGAACAGTGTAACATAGGACGCACTGAGGTAGTTCTCTAGGAAGTAGAACCCATACAAGGCCCCCGCCATGCTGTAAAATGCCAGACAGATGAAATAGCGCTGGTTATAGAAGCCAATACAACTACCAGTGAAGTAACAATGGTGGTCCCTCTTTAAAACACATCGGTCACAAATATTACAGTGTCGTGTGCGCACGGGCACCTGGCGGTCACATCGCTGACACATGCCCCAGTCCTCGTGTACTCTTGCATTAAACAACGGAAGGTCATTTGGGGAGCAGTACAAAGATTTCACTGCTCCATGCAATATCAGTCCATAGTTCATGAAGAAGTTCACTAAAAGGAACCAGCTAAATGCTTTATAGTAGAATAATCCGTCAGGGGATCGTTGCTGAATCACACAATAAAATGGTATGGTCAAGTAATTTGAGACAAACAGCAAAATAACAGTGAAGGAGAGAAGATAGCTCATTGCAGCATAGTTTACTAGGACCACCTTTCTGCGGATGCTGGAGACAATATTGAATTGTTCTTTGCCATCATGATAGTCGTTCATGGTCTCCATGCTACTGATGAGGTTCTGTGATGTAGTCATCACATTGGAGACAATGTTCTTCATACTGATGCTGGATTTGGCTTCGTTTAACCTTTTTTCAGTTACAAAGAGTTGGTAATATCCTCCATATCACGTGTCCTGTGGACAAAATTAAAAATTGTACACAACATATCCATTTAATTTTTTGTAAGACAGCCTTTACACGAAGAAAAGTAAAATCTTCACTTTATAATCATTTAGACAAATAGTATTTTTGAAGAAAAAGTTGATGACTATATAATTAGTATGATATGAAAATAAAACGTCTTTTAACATTTTTACCAATGAAATCTTCAGAAATTTTCATTAGGTTGATTCAGCTTTACAAAAGAAAAGGTTCAATTTAACTTCAGCCCCAAGCTTTTAAGGCTACTCCAAAAATGTTAAAGGTTTAACATGGCGATATATACTATATATTAAATCATATCCAATAGAAAAAAGGCCGACCAGCGGCCCTCTTATGTTATAGGAGTACCCCAAGGCAAACAATAAAATTCATATGGCCAACATGCTAAATTAAGGCTGGTGATGTACTTGGACACTTTTTTTGTGAATTTCATTTAATTTTGTTATTTAACAGATTATGTTGATGCCTTTTCATGTTCCTAATGTTTTAAAGAGCTTCGATTTTATTCACTGTTTCAGTAAATGAAATTCTCACTGTAAACAGAAAGTGTAATCCAAATACAGGACTATGACCAATATCAATATGAGGGCATGAGATCTAGAGGTCCCAACCTACATAAATGTATAGAAGAAGCAGACTTTTCCAGTATGTTTGGTAGGAGTTGTTTCCCTTGGACTACTGAAATTCGTTGACAGATCAACAGCTCTGTCAGGTATCAACGACCTACTCCAGTCTATCATTTCTATTTCAACGAAAATAAATGATACCACAATCTTCAAACTTACGTTTCCATTTGCAATGATAATGATTGAATTATTAGACTTACTAGGTCAGATTCAATCGGTCAGCACCTCACCGGAAGTTTGAACATCGCTAATGCGGTCTGTGCGCCTGCGTCATAAAATGGTTGCGTCGAAGATTTTGAGCGAGCGGGAAGCAACGCCTTATTTCCTGATTTACAGGGTCAAATTTGATTTCATTATGGAAACAACCATATGAGTCGAATTTCGAAATAGTTAATTTAATATCCAATCTATAAAGGTAATGTAGTACGAATTATTTGTAAAAGAATTTGTGTGTAATTTCGTTCGATTTCATCTCGTTAATATGCCGTTCCGCCATTTTTTCGATTTCTGTATATTCGAATAACATCAAAACAAATACATGTGTGTTGTTTAAAATTGATGTTTATTAAACATTTAATATGGTATAAGATGTCTTCGATATAATGTTGCCGGTTATTAGTGTCAGCGGAACTGTAAAATATATGTAATTAGCAAATACTTGTGGGGAAATGGCACTGTCACGCCATTGTTTATTACCAAATCGGCCTTACTGGTTATTTACACTCTTTGGTCGCTCTCTTTCGTACAGTACAGGTACAGAATCGATTGAGCTATAAAGACCTATATATGAATATTCAACTATAAAGTATAGCAGTATTGAGCTATATTTTCTTAGATTTCAATTTTCATTAAATTAAAGTAAAGTTGCATATAACAATAAGGCGTATGGTATTTTTGGCTACAAAAAGCATACATTTAGATGTTTATTTTCATTTTTCAAAAATGTAGATTTTTCGATATTTTTACATCAAAATTTAAAAAACAGAATACTTATATTTAATGTCTTTTGTTATCTACCTTATGATAACATCTTCCTTTAAAAGCGACTTTGTTTCGTTTTCCTTAAAAAAGAAAATCACATGAAAATTATAAGCTCAAAAGACCTATTTCAGATAGGTCAATACAGCTATTATAGGTTTTTACAGCTATATAGCGCAATCGGCAGAGTGTACTGGACCTGTTGTAGTAGGGCGTGGAAGAGTGATAAAGATAATGCTGTCGCTGGGGCTCGAACCTGAATTTGAACCCTCGACTCTCCAGCCTGATGCTCTACTGCTGATCTAAAGGGAAATTCCCTACAGCTGACGCTTGTAAGACTAGGCAATTCAACCTAATCAGTGCACATCTTTTACAGACTCCATCATTATAATGATCAAGTTACAAATGTGACACACTAGACACATTATAAGTACTTTGTAGCTTGTTGAATATATTGGGGGTGGATGGGATATTAGAAGATATTATTTAATCACAGATCGATCTGTTAAGAAGAGGCCTGGCTAAAAATTGGTAGAGCCTCTGTCTAGAGTTAGGAGGGTCCCAGGTTCGAATCCTGGTTTGGCTGTGCATTTTCCATTCCTATTACATTTGATGCCTGTGACCAGACCTTGTTTCAAGTACCAGGTGAATGCTTCAAGAAGGGATACCCCAACCATGGTTGTGAAAAGTTGTGTCTTTGGGGGCAAAGACTTAGAAACCGCTACTCAGGACTGGGTCGATTGTCGTTGACCAGGTATAGCTCAATTGCAATTGGTATACCATCTAACCATCTTACTAGATTTCAGAGGGTCTAGGGTTTGAACCCCGGTCTGGCCATTCATTTTTCCATTATAATTACAGTACAATTAATATCTGCCACACTACTTCCCCCTTTAAATGTGCTTGCCTTCGAGCACCACAACAACCAATGGCCAGGTTCTAACTTCCTGTTATCATAGTAAGGGCCATGGACACCATTTGTAACATGAAAGAGTGGTGTCAGCTTCGATATTAATTCCACCAGGGATCAAACTGTGACCCCCAGATCCCTAGTCAGACACTCTACCACTGAGATAAAAGAAAGTTTTAAATTCCCAGGTATTCCCTCTGGCGAGAAGCTAGGAGACCAACCTAACCTATGTGCATGCAATTAAAATCTGTCGCAGACCAAATGAATAAAAAATGGTTTGAAGTATTCCACATGTGCTTTTGAATAAACAAACCTGTTGGCCATTGAATATATAGCTAAATAATTAATCTGCAATGCAAACACCCAAAACAAGAACATATGGCTCAGTATTTTTCTACAGAATAGTACACACCATGTAGTAATAAACAGTAATGACTTTGTACCCACGTTCAGACCCCAGGACACGACGTAGTTGCAACCTTATACATTGTAGTTAAAAACACATCCACCCGTCCAAAGACACATACCAATGTACTCATTCTTCTCATACACCATATATCACAATTGAATATGCTTCCTAATGTAACAGGAAAGAGAGTAGTGTGATGTCACCGAGGATCGAACCCGGCCAGATCCCAGACTTCCTTGTCGGACACTCTCCCACTGAGCTTAAGGAAAATTCTCTTGAGCATGAAGCTAGAAGCTAGGCAACCGTAATCTGCCACTATAGCAAAATGAAAATATCAAAAAATTAATCATTGTACATAATTACACACTCACAATGTCAATTGCTGCATGCTGCCCTCTCATGTCGATAATCACCAGTAGTGGTGGATGGCACTTATGGATGATGGATGAAGGTGAACCTGACAGAGCTGTCAGTAGAGAGTATCTTTTTGACTCTTCAACAGAAGATTTAACTTTTGGGTTTGAAACGACAGTGATCTATCAAAGACTGTTTTGACCCTCCTGGAATTGTCAGCCAAGTTGTAAATATGTTGTTTTATAGGCCTAGTGGGCACATACTAAGAAATTAGGAGCGATTACATATATAGTGGGAGTGGATTAGATAATTACAAGTACACCTCTGTATATACTTATTTCATGGTGATTCGATATCTTGGGTATAACAATTAACCTGGAATACATCGGTGAATCGTATCGTAAGTGCTGATGCATTGTGGTATTCGCTGATAGTATTGTGACACTTTGAAAAGTAAAAAGTTTTCCCGAGGGCATAATCATCATTATTGATGGAGTCCCTGCACCCTAAAGAAGAAAGGAAGGGTTACCTCCCTCATACAGTGGTTATTAACCAATCACCCAAAATTAGTTTCAGCATGATCTTGTTCTACCACTGAAAAGAAAGATTATTTCAAAATAAAAATGCTGTACAATTTAGGGGATATATTACCTAAAAAACCAAATGAATTAATCACAACACAAATCAATTTGTTTCAAATCAAGAAAAACGATATGTGGCAACAGGTTTGTACATTTCGTATCGTGATCATTATCATGACCCATGTATCATATCGTCAACAACCCTTGCAATACACATCACTTGCATGAATGCATCACTTTGTCATGGATATATCTCTTGTACTCTAGATCTGTCACCTACATCTGCCATAATATACCGTTAGAGTTGTAGCCCTTTGTTCATGCTGCATCGCTTTAATTTGCAACCTCGAGTATATGTGTAACATAAATATGTCATATAAGCCAAAATCATAAAAAATCATTAAAATATTGCTTTGAATATAATTATTCACTTCACACTTGCATATGTTTGTTTTTATTAATGTCCCAATTTGAAAACCCTAACAAAAAATATATAACTGACATTTGTGTTCCCAATCTTAAGCTTATTTATTAATGTCCAAAAGTTTCAAATTAATTTTTATTCTATTCCAGAACATGTGTACCTGAAGATTGAGAATTGAAAGCTTAAGGAAACTGATCAAAATGGACGTTCGAGCTGCTTTAATTGAAGGTTTGTATGTTATGGAATGTATACAGATCAACACCATTCTTAAGTCTAAGCTAAGTGTATAATGTATATACAGATCAACAGCAGTCTAAAGTCTAAGCTTAGGGTATAATGTATATACAGATCAACTCCAGTCTAAAGCCCAGGCTTAGGGTATAATGTGTATACAGATCAACACCAGTCTAAAGCCTAAGCTTAAGGTATAATGTATATACAGATCAACACCAGTATAAAGCCTAAGCTTAGGGTATAATGTACAGTATATACAGATCAACACCATTCTTAAGTCTAAGCTAAGGGTATAATGTATATACAGATCATCACCAGTCTAAAGCCCAAGCTTAGGGTATAATGTATATACAGATCAACACCAGTCTATAGCCCAAGCTTAGGGTATAATGTATACACAGATCAACACCAGTCTAAAGCCCAAGGTGCGGGTATAATGTATATACAGATCAACTCCAGTCTAAAGCCCAAGCTGCGGGTATAATGTATATACCGATCAACACCAGTCTAAAGCCTAAGCTTAGTGTATAATGTATATACAGATCAACACCAGTCTAAAGCCTAAGCTTAGAGTATAAAGTATAAACAGATCAACACCAGTCTAAAGCCTAAGCTTAGGGTATAATGTATATAAAGATCAACACCAGTCTAAAGCCCAAGCTTCGGGTATAATGTATATACAGATCATCACCAGTCTATAGCCCAAGCTTAGGGTATAATGTATATACAGATCAACACCAGTCTAAAGCCTAAGCTTAGGGTATAATGTACAGTATATACAGATCAACACCATTCTTAAGTCTAAGCTAAGGGTATAATGTATATACAGATCAACACCAGTCTAAAGCCTAAGTTTAGGGTATAATGTATATACAGATCAACACCAGTCTATAGCCCAAGCTTAGGGTATAATGTATATAGAGATCAACACCAGTCTAAAGCCCAAGCTTAGGGTATAATGTATATAGAGATCAACACCAGTCTAAAGCCCAAGCTTCGGGTATAATGTATATACAGATTAACAACAGTCCAAAGCCTAAGCTTAGGTTATAATGTATATACAGATCATCAACAGTCTTAAGCCTAAGCTTAGGGTATAATGTATATACAGATCAACACCAGTCTAAGGCCTAAGCTTAGTGTATAATGTATATACAGATCAGCACCAGTCTAAAGCCTAAGCTTAGGGTATAATGTATATATAGATCAACACCAGTCTAAAGCCTAAGCTTAGTGTATAATGTATATACAGATCAACACCAGTCTAAAGCCTAAGCTAAGGGTATAATGTACAGTATATACAGATCAACACCAGTCTAAAGTCTAAGCTTAGGGTATAATGAATATACAGATCAACACAAGTCTAAAGCCCAAGCTTAGGGTATAATACAGGTCAACAACAGTCTAAAGCCCAAGCTTAAGGTATAATGTATATACAGATCAACAACAGTCTAAAGCCCAAGCTTAGGGAATAATGTATATACAGATCAACACCAGTCTAAAGCCCAAGCTTAGGGAATAATGTATATTCAGATCACCACCAGTCTAAAGCCCAAGCTTAGGGTATAATGTATATATACAGATCAACACCAGTCTAAAGCCTAAGCTTAGTGTATAATGCATATACAGATCAACACCAGTCTAAAGCCTAAGCTTAGTGTATAATGTATATACAGATCAACAACAGTCTAAAGTGTAAGCTTAGGGTATAATGTATATACAGATCAATACCAGTCTAAAGCCCAATTACACAAGCTTAGGGTATAATGTATATATATAGATCAACAACAGTCTAAAGTCTAAGCTTAGGGTATAATGTATATACAGATCAACACCAGTCTAAAGCCCAATTACACAAGCTTAGGGTATAATGTATATATATAGATCAACAACAGTCTAAAGTCTAAGCTTAGGGTATAATGTGTATACAGATCAACTCCAGTCTAAAGCCCAATTGCACAAGCTTAGGGTATAATGTATATCCAGATCAACACCAGTCTAAAGCCCAATTGCACAAGCTTAGGGTATAATGTATATCCAGATCAACACCAGTCTAAAGACTAAGCTTAGGGTATATTGTATATACAGGTCGACGACAGTCTAAAGTCTAAGCTTAGGGTATGATGTATATACAGATCAACACCAGGATAAAGCCTAAGCTTAGGGTATATTGTATATACAGATCGACAACAGTCTAAAGTCTAAGCTTAGGGTATAATGAATGTACAGATCAACACCAGTCTAAAGTCTTAGCTTAGGGTATAATGTATATCCAGATCAACACCAGTCTAAAGTCTTAGCTTAGGGTATAATGTATATTCAGATCAACACCAGTCTAAAGTCTAAGCTTAGTGTATAATGTATATACAGATCAACACCAGTCTAAAGTCTAAGCTTAGGGTATAATGCCAACACTGTGGATTCTTCAGTAGTGGAATTGTTTGGTTCTTTTCGTCTTGTCTTGATTCTCAAATGTATGCAGGGTGATTGAGTAAAAATGGGTCACAATTGATGATAGATTCATTAACTTTGCCCCTTCACATGTGTTATCAATATGTATGGTATGCTGCATATTTATTACAGAGCTGCCTTAAATTCGCCCTCATATTACAAAGGACGAAAAGGCCAACGTTAAAATTTCATGAAAATATCCTAGTTTAACAGGAGAAAGAAAATGTAACGTCCAGATGACGGACGCTCTACCAATTGGGCTACCTGGTCGCCGATGATCGACCCAGTCCAGTCTAACGTTCCAATCCACTAGTATACAGTATCGTTACTGAAGGAAACAAAATTATCATGAACTTATACATTAAAGTTGCCATGTTTGTCATAGACATTATCAGATCTGTTGTATGTGATCCAGTCACCTGTTTAGACATTTAAGTCTAACTGTTGTGCACATGCCACATCTACAGTCCTTATACTTATTTTTTTTATTTCCAGTGTGTGATGTATGTGGCAGTCAACACCCCACTGAGGCGTGTCCAGAACTTGGACTGGACACATCAGAGCTGACTCAACAGACCAGGTCAAGGTATTTACTGTAAAACTTAAATCCATATACATGTAAGGAGAATCCTTACTTGAAAATATGACAGTCTTGCCTGTTTTTTTTACATATCCTGCTTCATCCTTACCTGGATATGTCAAATAAGGTACAAGTCAAAAATATCATCTCTTTTAACTCTGTGCAAGTCGAATGTTTATCTTTTTCTAACTTTATACAAATCTGATCTCTATTCTTGTGTATGAATTAATGTTTGTATGTTTTTTACAGGACACATCTGACGTTACTTGTGTAAAGTAATGTTTGTTTATTATTGACAGGGCACGCCTGACGTTACCTGTGTAAACATTTGTATAATTTTAACAGGGCATGTTTGACGTTACCTGTGTAAATATTTGTATAATTTTAACAGGACGCGTCTGACGTTACCTGTGGAAAACATTTTTATAATTTTAACAGGGCACGCCTGACGTTACCTGTGTAAACATTTGTATAATTTTAACAGGGCACGTCTGACGTTACCTGTATAAACATTTGTATAATTTTAACAGGGCACGCCTGACATTACCTGTGCAAATATTTGTATAATTTTAACAGGGCACGTCTGACATTACCTGTGCAAATATTTGTATAATTTTAACAGGACACTTCTGACGTTACCTGTGTAAACATTTGTATAATGTTAACAGGGCACGTCTGACGTTACCTGTGTAAACATTTGTATAATTTTAACAGGGCACGCCTGACGTTACCTGTGTTAACATTTGTATAATTTTAACAGGACACATCTGTCGTTACCTGTGTAAACATTTGTATAATGTTAACAGGACGCGTCTGACGTTACCTGTGTAAACATTTGTATAATGTTAACAGGACACGTCTGACATTTCCTGTGTAAACATTTGTATAATTTTAATAGGGCACGCCTGACATTACCTGTGTAAACATTTGTATAATTTTAACAAGGCACGTTTCACGTTACCTGTGTAAACATTTGTATAATTTTAACAGGGCACGCCTGACATTACCTGTGTAAACATTTGTATAATGTTAAAAGGGCACGTCTGACGTTACCTGTGTAAACATTGGCATAATTTTAACAGGACACGTCTAACGTTACCTGTGTAAACATTTGTATAATTTTAACAGGACACGTCTAACGTTACCTGTGTAAACATTTGTATAATTTTAACAGGACACGTTTGACGTTACCTGTGTAAACATTTGTATAATGTTAACAGGGCACGTCTGACGTTACCTGTGTAAACATTTGTATAATTTTAACAAGGCACGTTTCACGTTACCTGTGTAAACATTTGTATAATTTTAACAGGACACGTCTCACGTTACCTGTGTAAACATTTGTATAATTTTAACAAGGCACGTTTCACGTTACCTGTGTAAACATTTGTATAATTTTAACAGGACACGTCTGACGTTACCTGTGTAAATATTTGTATAATTTTAACAGGACACGTTTGACGTTACCTGTGTTAACATTTGTACAATTTTAACAGGGCACGTCTGACGTTACCTGTGTAAACATTTGTATAATTTTAACAGG